GGGTGGTGTGAAATCCCAGATTTGGTTTTGGCCATCTTAATTTGGACGTGCCTATCAGATATCCATGTGGAGATGTTGAGTAGGCTTAGAATTCTTGGGAAAAGTCAATATTAGAGGCAGATTCAAGAGTTAATGTCCTATAGATGGAATTAAAGACCTGGCCTGGATGAGAGAGAGAGAGAGCATGTGGAGAGAGATGAGAAGCGAACCCAGCACCCTCAGTCAGTGAGGTTGGAAGAAAACCAAGAAAATCACTGCTCAGAAGCCAAGGAGTGAGGGTTTCAAGAAGGCAGGAGTGATCCACCTGCCAGCAGTGCTGAGAGGTCAAGTCAGACAGGAGCAGAGTAGGATGCACTGGCCTGGCCACGGGGAGGCCATGTGACCAGGGAGATGGCCCCAGCAGCCTCCATGAGTGAGGCACAGGAACTTGGCTGCAGGGAATGGGTGCAGCACCCATAGACAACGCTGTCAAAAAGGGAAGCAGGAAAATGGGATCTGGAGCATCCTTTGAGGCCCCACCAAGTACAGTGATGGCAATTGAATGATAGAGGCCTGGGCTCCACCAACCAGCTTCTGAGTACTGCAGTTATCCTACAAATGGAGAAGGCAGGACAGCATGGAATTAGGTGGGTGCTGCTAAAGAGTGCATGGTCCCTGAGTGTGCAATGACGTCATTCAGTCCGGGCAAACACGTTTTTCTTGATATCAACTATCTCTAGTTTGGTGAAGACAGACTATGTGTTTGAAATACTAGCAAGAAAACCATAAAGTAAAACTATTATTAAGAGCCAAGGCACTTTAAATTCTTCAGTTTTGGCTAACAGGAAGAACTTGTAAGTGGTTTCTTTTTGTTGTAAGCAAAGGTGGATGATAACCTTCATTATTTGCTTGATTGGATGTAACTGGGAAGCTTCTTAGACTTAATAACTGGCAAAACGAAATCCTTGACACCTAAATAACCCTGTGGTCTAACGCATACTGCCAAGAGATCAGATGGAGCCTGATCTGATATACCATCTTGTTTCTTAGCTGAGTGATTCTTTAATAGCTTCTTAATTTTCACTTAATTATTCCATGCCCCTAATGACTCCCTCAAAAACACTACAAGGGCACATACACCCTAAGCAATCTGAGTTTGCCCTCTGAAAAGTTTGTAATTAAAGACTTTATCTGTATTGAAAAAAAACCAGCACACTTCCTGACCACTACTCGTGAGTTGTTGAATTTAATCAGACATGGACTTGATAGAGTGCATTCATCTATAGTGGCTATTAATGGGAACCGGTGAGTCAAATCTCATGTCTAACAGGGGCCAGCCTGACTGAGGGCCTGGGAGGAGGTTCTCAGGTCAGCACTGGGCCCAACACAGTCCCTTCCACCCCAGGCATCGCCCACCTCTTCACAGCCTGTCATCATCACAGTGTCTGCCTATTCTTCCTGCCTCTGACCTGCACACTCCGCTCCCTTCTGTGAACTGCTTCTTTCACTTTTGTGATGACACAAAGTCACAGATCTGATCAGGCCACTCCAGCTTTCACATCTGCACAGCTTCTCAGTGTCCTTGCGGGGCTTCAAGATTTGTTCCTGAGTCAAACAGACCCAGAGTGGAAAGTAGCTCCCAACCCACTGGCCTTGAGAAAGAACCCGTCCTGAGCCTTTGTTTCCTCATGTGTAAACTGAGAATAGCCCTGGTCATAAGAGGGTCCTTGTGCCCCCACTGTGGTGAGGATGAAGTGAGATGATGCAGATGGTGAGGTTCCCAGAGGGCCAGGCCCTCAGCGCCCAGCAAATGGCAGCTTTTTGTAGTGGATATGCTATCGTTCTGTCCAACAAACTGCACCCTTTCCTGGGGGACCTATTCCTTCCCTTCGTGTGGTCCTGCAGTTCTGTTATCTTACTCTGCTTCCCACCCTAAATCACCTGTCATTAGGTCGGGCTGCACATTTCTGGAAAAAAAACAGCAATGCATTAATTCAGGGCTTTTTTTTTCTCTCTCTCTCATGTAAAAGTAGCCTGGCATAAGAAGCATAGGCCGAGGGTGCAGCCCCAAAGCATTACCAGGAAATTGGGCCCCTGTCTTCCTGATCCACCATCCCGGAGCCTGGCTTTCATCTTCCAAGTGACTTCACAGCCCAGGATGCCTGCTGGCACTCCAACCAGCAAGTCCATGTTCCCCATATTGACAGTAGGAGGAAGTGAGGGAGGACAGGAAAATGTGTAACGCCATCCCTTCCCACCATGATGGAGCCTACTGAAAATTCCACATAATGGTTCCACATATGGAACTAGATCACTTGGGCTCTCCTAGTTGCAGACTAGTCTAGAAAATATGGTCTTTTCACTGACACAATGCCATCTGAAATAGAATTGTTTTTAAATTAAGCAAGAAGGGGAGAAGGGTATCTGTTGTCAACTAGTAGTGTCTCCCAAGTTAGGGGACCCCAGGGTGGACATGAGTGCCCTTCCATGGGATCTGGTCTCCAACACTGGCAGAAAGATGGGTCATGGGCTGGAGGGACACAGTCATACACAGAGGAACAAGAGCCAGGGGAGGGAGAGAGGAGCGAGACTGCCCTTGGGCTTTGGCCGGGTAAAAACTGATCACCTCTAGACCCAAGTGAGTTGGAGTAGAGTCTCCAATGCTGTCATGTTGATTAGAGCACCACAGTTATGACTGTTTATTGTAGTGAGCAGGTCATTCTATATAAGCTTATTATTGGCATTAATAATACCCAAGTGACATCAGGGACTCCTCCAGCTGCATTCTCTCCCCAACCGCAAAGCTCCCTGCAGCCCCTTCCTCCATGCTGCCTCCTTGCAGGGTCTCAAACCAAAAGCCCCTTTTCTTCTCTCCCTGCCTATACCTGTGCTCCTGCCACCCCCAGCCTGGTCATTTCTCCTCCAGCCCCCTTCTCCAAGCAAATTCCTGCTTGGCCTTGAAAACCTGATTCAAATGTCACCTTCTAAGCGGAGCTTTCCCCAACTCCTTTGCATTCACTTGAGTCCCTGAATGTCTGAATGATCTCTTTCATATTTTGCTGCAAGGCTTTACTCTTCCACTAAATTGAAAACACCAAGAGGGAAATTTTCCACCCTTGCCACACACACACTCCCACAGGTGGCCATAAACCCTTGTCACTGAATGACCGAATGAATGGCAAGCGGATGAGGTTTGGCCAATGCAAGCTCTACCCAAGTAGAAGCCTTCTGAGTGAGGGCTGCTGGGTGTGAACCTCACTCTGCCTCCACTGCCTCCTCTGTAAAGGAAAGATAACAATACTGACATTTCTCTCCAAGGATTCACAATGCGTAGGACCTCAATTAATGTCAGCCGTTCATATCGGTAGTTTTACTGCACGTCATCAACTCTGCGGTGCATATTTCTTTTTCACATTGTAATGGCACTTACAGTATATGGCATCACATGGTTTAACTGGCAGAGGTTTGAGGTTTTTTTTTTTTTTTTTGGTTTATTTTTCCCCTTGGTGATGCAACCAACGCTGTTTAGAAGTCAAAGCAGTTGTTATTCTTAGGAAAGGAATAGAGTTCCGAAATTCAGGGCTTTGCAAAGTCAGAAAAGTCAACTGCTTATAAATCCCAAATAGTGAGAGATGAGACTGTGCTGGCCTTTGAGTGGTCAAGGGTCTGAAGCGGCTCAGAACGAGATGAAGGGAAAGGACCGGCCTTTGCCATATGGTGTTCCAGGAAGAGTCCAGGTAGCCGCCATTCCATCAAATGAGAGTGAGGGAAGGGCCACAAAAGAAAAGCAATAAAGCAGGTCTGAGGCATAGGTCTTGGCAAGAATTCAGTGTGACTGCAGCCAGGGAGCTGATGAGAAGCAGGTCAGAAGCTGACTGTGTTTTTGTGGATCCCGATTTGTCAAAGAAACCATGAGTTAAAAATATATTTTATGAATAAATTGGAATATTATTCAGCCGTAAAAGAATGAAATATTAATACATGCTTCAACATGGATGAGCCTTGAAAACATTATGCAAAGTGGACACACACTACATGATTCCATCTATATGAAATATTCAGAATAGGCAAGTCCATTCAGATAGAAAGTAGTTTAGTGGTTGTCAGGGGCTGGGGGCAGACGGGAATAAGAATAATTACTTAATGAGTACAAGGTTTCCTTTTGGGGTGAGGAAAATGTTCCGGAACCAGATAGAAGTGGTGGTTGTCCAATGTTGTGGTTGTCCTAAATGCTACTGAATTTGTTCATTTTTAAATGGTAATTTTATGCTACCTGAATTTCACTGCCCTCCCTTTTTTTTTTTTTTTTTTTTTTTCTTTTTTTCTTTCGGAGACAGTGTTTGGTTCTGTTACCCAGGCTGGAGTGCAGTGGTGAGTTCACAACTCACTGCAGCCTCGACCTTCTGGGCTAAAACAATCCTCCCACCTCAGCCTCCTGAGTAGCTGGGATCACAGGCATGTACCACCATGTCCAGCTAATTGTTTTGTTTTTTGTAGAGCTGAGATCTCACTGTATGGTTCAGGCTGGTCTCAAACTCCTGGGCTCAAGGGATCCTCTGGCCTCAGCCTCCCAAAGCGCTAGGATGACAGGCATGAGCCACTGTGCCCCACTACATCTCAATTTTTTTAAAAAGGCATTTGACTATTCAACTGTGGAATCTCCAACCTTCAGCAGCAGCAAGTGGGCAGGAGGAGCTGTGCAGACCCCACTAAGGGCATGTCCCTAATCCCATATCATACACAGCTATCCAGAGTGAGAGGCCAGAGGGTCTCTCCGAGCACAAGTTAGGGGCCCCAGAGGACAGCGAGTAGAGAGGCTCCCCAGGGATAAACCAGAAAATCTGGGGGAAAGGCCTGCTGCTGCATGCTCAGAAGGTTTGTAGCTGGGCGGGAGCCCCCGTGTGCCTCCCGTCTGCTCCTCTCGGAATGGTGGTGCTGTTGCTATTATCCTGCCCCTGTTCTCCTGCAGGGTACCGAGCTGTGTGGGGCAGCCAATTTATTGCTTTATTATCTGTTTATAGGCCTCTGGGTCCAGAAAGGCGGCGTTGTACACTACTGAGAGACTGCCATGCACCCCCTGGAGACCTCAGAACATTCAACATGCTCCAGTTATGGCCACGGCAGTGATTGCTGGTTGCCTAACCCCACATGTGTTCTCCCCTCTTCCCTGAAAATCAAGCCCCTGATTTTCAGCTGGGCACAAAATAATTCTTTCTAGAACAACTCCACGTGTGTTATCGCCCTTGCAGGTGGGGGTAGCCTCCACCGGGGGGAGGCAGGGTGAAGAGGTGGAAGGAGCCTGAGTTAGCAGGGATGAGCAGTGGCCGGGTAACCCCAGACTCACTATCCTCTGGATTTCTTTTATGTGAAAGAATAAAATGTCTTGTATTTGAGCCTTTGTTATTGTAGGTTTCTGCTACATACAACCAACCCTAAGTGTAATTGATACAGTGGGCCCCATCCTTATCAACTCTGGGTACCACATTGTAAAATTCTGCAGTGTGACTGTAACCCCAGCATAATTTGCAATTTGGTGAACCTCCTTATTCTCTTATATCTTTCAAAAATTGACTAGGAACTAGCAGTTTCCCACAAAACTACCCCACATTTTCATAGCAGGAAACTGCAACAGGGAACTTGTTAAGTTCCTTGTTAGCAAGACAGTTATCCCTGAGCCTGTAGGCCGCCTCTCTGGCCACTAAAGTTTCCAGACAGACCTGCAAAGCAGTAAAGGAAAGCAGCATTGGTCACTGCATCCTTCTGTACAATATTTACTTGAAAAATAATTGCAAAATACCTTAATTTTACCCAGGATGTTTTTCAGCATGTCCCAAAGAGGAAATTCATTTCTGATGTAGTTTGTGGATTTTTTGTTTTTATTTTCATATTGTTTTTGTTTTGCTTTCATTTCCTGGGCAATTTCGCCCACTGATTACCCAGTGGACAATTGCTCCCATCAGTTTCTGTTTAACGTTTATATTATTAATTGTGAAAAAATACGAATTAACCAAGATAGCAGCTGCTCGTTAGAGTAACATAAATTTCTTTTATCACATATTCTTAAAGCTGGGGAAAAGTGTTAAAATATGCAAAATATGTATATTATAATATAAAGTTTATTTTTGTATGATTATAAAAGTTATAAATGCTGACTGGGGATAACCTAGAAAATGTAGAAGAGTAAAGTGTATTTTTTTTTTCTTTTGAAATGGAGTCTCACTCTGTCGCCCAGGCTGGAGTACAATGGCATGGTCTTGGCTCACTGCAATCTCCGCCTCCCTGGTTCAAGTGATTCTTCTGCCTCGGCCTCCCCAGTAGCTGGGACTACAGGTGCATACCACCACGCCCAGCTAATTTTTGTATTTTTAGTATAGACCGGATTTCACCATATTGGCCAGGCTGGTCTCGAACTCCTGACCTCTTGATCCACCCACCTGGGCCTCCCAAAGTGACGGGATTACAGGCATGAGCCACTGAACCCAGCCAAGTAGAGTGTATTAATCCCACCTTCCAAAGCCACACACTATTAATATTTTCCTATATTTCCTTCTGTTCTCTCTCTGTTTACATAGTTGTAGTTACACTGTATACATTACTTAGGACTCTATTTCACTTAACATGACAACGTAAGCATTTTTCCACATTATTAAAACTCCCTGGTACCCAGAGCCGAGGTCTATTTTTATGGCGCGGCTTAGATGGTTCTCAGTGGACTCTGCTACCCAGCCTTAATCACACAAAGACAAGTTATCAGGTTCCGTCCGAAGTCCTGGGCTGCCGCTCGTCTACTGAGCAGGAACCAGAACTAAGGCTGGCGTGGAGGGGAAGGACAGGCCAAATATTGTTTGGCTGCCTGCTCCCTCTCAGGACCAAGCTTGCAACCTGTTAAGGGGTCCCGCTGATCCAGAAGTTCTTTCTTGCAGAAACACACACTGGCTTTGAAGCAAGGAAGCAGGCTTACTGCTGCAGCCCCAGGGGAAAAATCCAGACACAGAATAAAAAAGTAAACTACACCAGTGATTGTATGGTGAGATAGCAGGACTGCTCCTTTTAATGTCCAGAAAAGAGTCGTCCCTATTCACAGACATGATAAAGGCTGCCCAGGAGAGTTCACCTCTGCTTTCTACATGGTGAGCGCACTGGAGGTATCAAAAAGCCTGTGGACTAGGACCAGGGGAACAGCAGACATAGCCCACTGGGCAGCCCTGGGTGTTGACCCTCAGACTGGACTCGGGGCCAGCCTCCTGGTGAGTAATTTGGCTTCCCTGAAGCGAAACATCTTTTCTGCAGAAATGCAGTGACAGGGCAGGGGCTTTGCTTATTTGTTCACTCCTGTGTCTCCAGCATCTACAACATGCCAGGCACATATTGTAGTATTTGGTATAGTTTATTGAATAATGACTCTTTTTGCAAGCTCCCTTGAATGTTGACAATTAGAACCCAGTTTGAGTTCACAAGCATTTCTTTGAGAAGGAGCAAATGCCTCCAGGGACACACACATGTTAGCAGTCACTCTTCCCAGGTATGGCTCAGCCTTCACAGCTTGCTGCTTCTTCACTGCCCTGCACCCCGTGGTAAGGTGGGCATGGCTTCAGCAAAAGAATGGCAGAGGGACATGGGATGTAGACACTACCCAGAGGGGAAGATGTGCAAGTGATCACAGATAGACTTCTCAATTTCAAAATGTGACTCAGCATATCCATCTTCTTCCAATCATTTCTCCTTCCCTGTTTCTTCTTTTTTTTTTTTTTTTACAAGGTGCTTAAAACTTCGCCCCTCCCTAGAGGGGAGCGGCGCCATCTGGTTTCTCTGCAAGCTCTGCTTCCCGGCTTCACGCCATTCTCCTGCCTCAGCCTCCCTAGTAGCTGGGACTACAGGCATGTGCCACTATGCCTGGCTAATTTTTGTATTTTTAGTAGAGACGGGGTTTCACCATGTTGGCCAGGCTAGTCTCGAACTCCTGACCTCAGATGATCCACCACCTCGGCCTCCCAAAGTGCGGGGATTATAGGCATGAGCCACCGCACCCGGCCTCTCCTTCCCCATTTCTTCATCTTTTATCTCCTCCTGGTTCCCAGGACCCAGAACTCAGGTTGGTACTGTTAATATGGTTTAAAGCTCAGCTGTGTTAAGAGTTAAGTATGGTAAGCAGTCCTGTGCACAATTTATATCATTTTATTTCTGGAAAACTGCAATGACAGCTTTGACTTTAAAAGAATATTTTGGACCACATGTATGCTCATAAGTTTGGTGCTGCTTGCCTGTAGAATTTTCTGGGCATCTGGACCAGTCGAGAGGAATTCCGGAGTCTCCTCTACCCTGAGAGATAGGGAGGTCAAGCGGTCCGTCTATAATGTGAAGATGTTTTCTCTACAATAAGAGAAAGAGACTATGCCATGATATATACAGATAGGCATATCTCCCAAAGTTAAGAAACTGTAACCAAACCTTAGAATAGAAACGGAATCATCATCATCACCATTGTCATCATCACCATCATCTCCATAGCTATCATCTACGTGGTTAATAACTGTTGGGCTAGTACTATGCCCTTGGCACTATGCTAAGCAATATGTATCTCCTTATGTAATCCTCCGACAGGCAGCCACATTATAAATTAGGAAACTGAGGCCCAGAGATGTCCAGCAGCTCACACAAGGGGACACAGGAGTGACAAGGTGGGGACCCACACCCAGACAGTCTTTCTCTGGGACGTGGACTCCTAACCACTCATCATTGTAGGGAATGCAGAAGCGAAGCAGATGGGACTCCAGGACTCTGACTTTAATGGAAAGTGACTGCGTCCTAAGCCCCTGCCAGCAAAGTAGGTGGGACTGGGTCTCTCGGCGTTTCCTGGATTCTCATCTCTCTTACTCACTGCAGTGGCCCCAGGCAGTGCCATGCGCACTCCAGATATGCAGAAGGTGGATGTTGGACATATGAATGACCCAGTTCTCAAGTTCATTTCCCACTGGGAACTTCATAACATTGCCTTCAAATATTTAAACCAGGCTTCCTGACCTGTACTTGGGAGGTTGCACTGTGATTTCTGTGCTCCCTCTCATAGCCCTGAGACTCTAATGTTGGCTTACTTCTTTACTTGAGAGTGAGCAGCGTGAGGGTGGGTGTTCAATTTCCCCCACCCAGTCACATCAACTCATAAAAGACAAGGACAACCATTAATAGAGGCATCACTGGCTTGCAGGGTACAAAATCAGCTTGAGGAGCAGTCTTGGTGGTATAAAAGAAGGGTACTGAAGCAGGAGCCAATATTTCAATGAGGAGGGTGCAAAGACATATGATGGAAAACTTGAGAATAGACACTAAGCTGAATATTAATCACCAGTGAAATGTTAAGTAGAGGATATGTTAGTGATCTAAGATAGACTTAAAACAATAAATATTTACTGTCACAGTTTCTATAGGTCAAGTCTGGACATGGATTAGCTGAATGTTTATGGCTAATTGGATGTTTATGGCTATAACTGAAAGGTGGAAAGGGGCTGGAGGCAGTGGTGCACTTGGGGATAATGGTGCATGTGATTACATTTCCCCAGACTCCTGAGCAGCTGGAGATGGCTGTGGAAATGACAGTTGAGCTTGTTGAGTGGTACTTCCTGGGATGAACAGGATAGTCAATGGGCTGGTGCCCTCTTTCTCTTCTCCCCCTGTTCTTTTCTTGTTGTTCTGCTGCTTGATGCAGAACAATGCAGACATGATGGCAAGAGTTCCAGCAGCTTAGGGCCATAAGTGAAAGGCTACAAGAACCACAGTGACCTCAGCCTTTGAGCCAAGGCCAGCAACTATCTGCCTCCAGATTTTTCATTAGAAAAAAAAAAAAAAAAAACTCTTCTGTGTTTAAGCCACTTAGGTCGAGCCTGTTAACAGCAACAGCTGAACCCAATTCCTAACTGACAGGCCCAATTTCCCTACTTCCTGGTACTCACACTCTTGTGGAATCCTTTGACTTGAATCTGAGCTGGATTTACTGACTTGATTCTAACAAAGAATATGGCAGAAGTGATGGAATATCACTTCCAAAATTAAGTTATGAAAAAGACTATAGCATCTGTCTTGAGGCCTCTCACATTCTTTTACGTTCTTCACCCTGGGGAAAGCTACTTTCTGTGTCATGAGATAACCCTTTGAAGAGTTCCAGTGTAGTGAAGACCAATGTCTGCCAATAACCACATAGATACAGACACCACCCCCAACCAGTTGAGCCTTCAGATGAGACTGCAGTCCTGACTAACACCTTTATTGAAACCTCAAGAAGTCTTGAACCATAAACATCAAGCTAAGCCATGTTCAGATTCTGGACCTACAGAAATTGTGATAATAAATGTTTATTGTTTTAAGTCTATTTTAGATAACTAATATATCTTCCAACAATTTATT